TCGCAAGAATTCCTTAGACTTAAGTCTTGTCTTCCATGCAAACCAACCAAAAACCTGTACCTTAGGAGGTATATAATTAAGCCAAATCAATTTGGTAATGCTCATCGTGGCACCCATATTATCCACGCCCCTCTTGTACAAATCTGCCACTGTGAATAACCCAATAGATGAAGCTAACCATGTAAGCCTATCAACACCATCTGCGCACTGGACAGGGGCCCCCCTCAGGTATTCAAAAAGCCTTGTCAACTCTTGTTCCTCCCACTCATATAGCCCCCTTCTAAACTCAAAGAACCAGCCACCCACTTCACTTCTCTTATCAACCACACTTCTTAAGGATTCATTTTTATCCACAGCCAACCGAAACAAGATTGGAAATTCATCCTTCAAACACATAGTCTGCCACCACATATCAGACAAGAATCTGATTCTCCTCCCATCCCCCACCTTCAACTTAAGATTATTCAAGTAGAATTCCTTGAGGCTACTACACTGCTCAGCTACTACAATAATCCCTTTCCAAACTTCTGAGTGCCTGTTAGATGGGAAGAAAGTTGGGATCCATCCATCAAGCTCCAACCTATACCTGCTACAAATAACTCTTTTCCACAACGTGTCCTTTTCGCAGCCAAACCTCCACCACCATTTAATTAGTAAACAGTTATTCACATCCCTAAGTTTCCTAATACCCAAACCACCTTTCTCCATTGTTTTTGACAAGTCTTCCCACTTTACCATATGAATTTTCCTATCCGAGGCAGACCCACCCCATAAAAATGCAGCTTGAATCTTCTCCAACTCTCTAGCTACCCCTTCAGGCAACTTGAACAAGGATAAGTAGTACACTGGCAACGCTGAAGTAACCGATTTGACAAGTGTTAACCGCCCTGCAAATGACAACATCTTTCTCTTCCAGCCAGCCAGCTTGCTTTTGACTTTCTCCACCACTGGTTTCCATGTAGCTTTCATCAACTTTAATGTTCCATTGAACACTCTTTATGTATACAATGTACCTATTTACACACACACACACACACACACACACATATATACACCTAATGGCATCCCAAGGTACTTTAGGGGTAATGTCTTAGTTTTGCAGTTCAACACTGCAGCACAGCTATCTAACAGCTCCTTGGAAACACCCACACCGCATACTACGCTCTTGTGAAAGTTTATTTTGAGTCCCGACATGATTTCAAAACACCTA